AATATAATTAATATATATGTATATATTAAAATGGCGTACTTTTTATTATCACAATTTGACTCCCTATATTCTTTGTTCTCAGTTAAACTGATCCCAAGTTTACGAAGTTCTTCCAAAGTAGCTACTTTAACATTATTCAATGCCGTTTTAGTTTCCATATCATTTTCTTGCTCAACTTCGCGAATTATTTTAGCGTTATTCTGATTTTTATCGTTCATAACACTAGAATTTTGTAAAATTTCATTAACTTGCCCTAAAACATTGTCATAGAATGTCCAGCCTATTTCCGGAGTATGCTTTAATTTATCACTCTCTTCATCGCTCATATATTCCTCAAGCATCCCAAGATCAATCCTTGGTTCTGGAGTTGGTGGTGGTCTTTCCAATATTTTAAGATCACCTCCACTGAGAATCATGCTATCACCTACATCTTGAATTTGTTTAGTATTAGTACCATGTTTCTTATTCCTATGGTTCTGATAGTAATCTGTCGCAGGCAAATGGATATTGTGCAAAGAATGTTTATTAGCATTTACGTTAGCAACGTTCTTTTCTCTGTTTATAGTAATGTAATCATTTTCATCGTCGACAACAAGCATTTTATTACAATTCATGCTCGCACTGGGACTACATTCCACGTTCATAGAGGCGTTAAACATTTTTCTTATATCTCGAACTTGTTCATTTGTATTATCATCTTCCACCGTATACACTCTTTTGTGCATTTCTTTCCGATTTAAATCTGTAGCAGGATATTGATACTTTTTTGAAGATTCTGAAGTATTAGCCGCGTTATATATATCTGATTCCTTCAAAGTATGTCTTTCTGAATCTCTCATGGAAGAACTCACATTAAAATTACTACTTTGCTGTTGGTTAGAGGATAAGTAACTTTCCGAATCCTCGACTATGTTTTCCAATTGCGCTGCTCCAGTTTTGTGCGTAAATGTATTTTTGTATCTTTTAACAGGCTCTGTTGTATCTTGTACATTTACAGCATTTCTCCTATTAATATTATTACTTTCTCTACAAACTTCCTTTTTTTCATATATTTCAGAATCTAATAGAAATGGACTATTTTGTACAGTAAATTCAAAACTTGTCATAACACCAATTGAAACTTTTTGTTCCACAAAAGTTTTCTTTGGTTGCTGTTCCAACAATGCTGTTTCTAATTTATTATTTTCACCAAAAATATTTAAATCTTTCTTTTCAATAGCAGATGTATTCTGTATAGCCTCATTTTTTTTCATATCTTTGTTTTGAGATTGTGCAAGAGAGGAACTGAGAGCAGTATCATAACAATTTATCAATGGATATTTCAGTACTTGATTTGCAAGAGCCGATGAACAAGAACATGTTGATTTGTTTCTAAAACTTTCTTCCTGCATTCTTATTAGTCTATCTATCTGCAGTTGTAAATTTTTTATCTGTTCGCTCTGACTATTTACAAGTTGCAATAAAGTTTTTACTGTTTCATTATTATCTACATTATAATTTGAATGGCTAGATGCATGAAGTTGCTGATATCCGGTGTAAGGCATTTGTAAGTATTCAGTTCCCTTCAAAGTGTCTGGGATACCTTTGTTAGGCATTCTCATGCTATGATCAGGTACACTAAACTTTGCTTTTTGTACAGTATTACAAGAGAGATGACTCTTGCTTGTAGGTAATGAATGGGTATCTCCACGATGATTATAAGAATTGTCCACATCAGGACACGTCAATTTTACATATTTCTCATATATTCCATCATTAGTTTTTACATTTACCACTTGTTTTTGCATATCACATATTTTATTTTGCTCTTGTTGCTTTTGTATAGAAACATCTGATTGCAATGCATAATTACAGCTATGAGTGTTTTTACGTAATGGTGAAAAATGCATTGCATTTCTAGAATTAGCCTCTCGAGTGTAATTCTGTTCCCTCCATGCTGCGTAAGAGTTAGGATTGCACGAAATAGATGACATGGAATTAATGCATTCCGTAGTATTGTTAATATTGTCAAGGACTCGTATTGGTTTCAGCAATCTTATTGGTGATGAATCAGTGCATCTATCATTCAGATTTTGTACCATTGGTTTTTCGAAGACTAAAGATATTTCTGGCACAGTTGGCACTGCAAAGCACTATAAAAATTGTCTCTTATACTTTTTTGATATCTTTAAATTGTGTATATACATAAAGGAATAACAAACTATTGATAGAAGAAACTTACGTCGAGTTTTGCTGTTGGTTTTGGTATAATTCTTGGCTCAAATTCCTCTTCACCATCGTAAGATTGATAATGCATGTTTGAGTTTACTTTAAGAACACGTTATTATATATCAAAATATTGGTGAAGACGTCTATATTTTTTCTACGATGTTTTAAACATAATCCAGCTTTGTACGAATTTGCCTCTGATATTAGAGATCCCAAGCAATAACATTCACTGATACAATTCGTCTTTGTTCAATTTTGTAAATAAATGTAGCAATGGAAACTGGCGTCTGACATTTAAAATACGCATTTCAAAACCGATGGAAAGGCATAGGATCTGTTCTTTATAGCTGAACTGGCTGCACTAGTTCAGAGTTTATCTTTCTCCTTCCAATGGGGAGAGAAAAAGATATCGCGGTTTATCAGCCGAGCCGGTAAAGTCGTGGGAAGCGCGCGAGCTCGTCTGCGACAATTCGGACAGTCTTGTATAGCTCTCGTCACCTTAAAAATTCAATATTTTTTACGGTCGACGCAAGTCGGCGACAACAGTATTCTCTTTATCTTTGATCATCCTTGATCGGATCGTTGAATTTTGACAGAAGTGGAAAGGAAACGAAAAGGGTGAAAAACATGGCGGATAAAATCTACTACCCCAATCCGGAGATCGCGAAAAGATCGCACTGCAGTAGCATGGAACAATACAGGGAAATGCATAAAAAGTATAATAATAGTATAATAATATGAAATTTTAATGCTAAAAACCGTTTAGCGTATCGTTCTCTCTCTTGGGTATCGATTTTGAAAATTGAAGTCGAATCGAAATCAAACATCGTATTATCGTGATGCAAAAATGCGACGCGAAATGTAAAAAGTATACAAGCAATGACAATCGCGAATAATATGTTTAATCGTTAATTTATTTGTTGTTCAGATTAGAATCAACGATAAATATTAAAGAGACGAATCTCCGTAAACTCGAAGCTCCTCAAAGATGAACGTTCGAGATTGTTAATTATGGTGAAGAAAATATCGCATTTTTTGTACGTACAGTGATGAGAATTGCATGCTAGATAAATTGGACGGTGTTTCAGACATTGAAATTGATCTCGAGTCTTTACCTGAATGCTCTATAAAGGGCACGGATAGAGAAAGCGCAGTATCGATCTCGTGTAAGGGTGGGACAAATTTCTCAGTTTGAGGGACAAGCGTTTCTCCACGAACAGTATTAAAAATATGAAAAATGTTGTCCTTTCGATCAACCGCGTTAATCAAATATTTCACATTCGATTCGATTAATTTTACAGCGAGAATTCTTGCCAGCAATATGAGATTCTGCCTGAATGAGAAAAGTATTGGCTACAATTTCGGTATAGGCTTATGACCTGTTCCATCCATAATTTATTCCATTGGACTACGAACTCATTTAATTAATGCGGAAATAATGTGTAATATTAATGTACATAATTTGTGGCTTACCAAATATGCATAAATTTGTAAATAGAACGGTGTGAAAGGTTGTTATGTAAGAAAGAAGTGAATCGATGATTCGTTAAACTCGAGTCAATTGGCTCTTATTCCAATAGCGATGTTCAACTTTTAATATAATGATCATATATAAGTGCTCATATATAAAAAGCAATAAAGAAATTATCGATTATATTTTCATCATGGAATTTCATGATCATGAAATGAATCGAAGAATAATGAGATAACTCAGATTGAGACAAATTGTTTTTTTTATAGATCTGTAGAGGATCCAGTGAAATTCTGGGGTGAAATTGCCAAGGAATTTTACTGGGAAACACCAGCGATAGAGGACAAGTTTTTCTCATACAATTTTGATGTAGACAAAGGTGATGTTTTCATAAAATGGATGGAAGGAGCAACAACGAATATCAGTTTCAATTTGCTCGATAAGGCTGTAAAGAACGGACATGGAGATAAAATTGCATTTTACTGGTAAGAATATATTATAATATTTCAAAAGTGGATTTTTTTATACAATTCGGATTCGATAATAATCTATTAAAAAGAGATAATTACCAATCGCCTGACAGTTCATTTCCATGCAAAGTATATCTTCGAAGGCGCAAGTCATTCATATATACTCCGAGTTTATGTTTACGTAAAATCGTACATCATATTCTTATTACGCCATAATTATTTATCAATGGCACCGGTGAATTTTCAATGCGGCAAGTGAAATCAGCTTGTCCAAAATCTTTATAAATTTGATCGGTACTCGCGAGAAACGAGCTCAATAAGCGAAGAAACGTCAATTTCGCGATATCACGCTTCATACATATTTAATACCTGCCCTAAGCTACTTACGCCGGATTACCGATCATCGATTATCATCGAGAACATCAATTCAGTATCGTATATCACGTTTTCAAAATCTCAACTTTTAAGAATAAATTTTCTAATTGTAAATGCACACTGCAATTTCATTCATTAAAGGCGATGTTGAAAGTATTTATGAAAGAGTCGCATAATTGGACAATGCCCATTATTTTTCGAAAAATTCGACACATGGTCTACACCTGCGTCTTCATTGGCTAGCGAGGCATCGTGCGCGATCACGTCATTTATTGCATCACTCTCACGCGCGAGAGCATGATTCAGTCACGCAATTCGTACTGAAAATTTCGTTAAGACACGATCGCGTTCTATTACCTGATATAAAAGAGATATCTGAAATACATTCATATCATGAATCTCACAAGTGTTATAATATAAACATATATATAATGTATACGCGATTAGAAAACAATTAACATTTCGTCGACACCGCAGAATTATTAAAAAAGTATTTCAATAAAAAAAAAAAAAAAAAAAAAAAAAAAAAAAAAAAAAAAAAAAAAAAAGATAAGAAAAACGGGATGTAAATAGAATCAGCGGAAATAGTGAAATAGTGAATATACATTATTTAAATTAAATTACGGGCGTAAATAACAAAATGCATAATAGAAAACAATACGTTAATGACATATGTGCATAAATGATTGCGTTTAGCCCTGAATTTAGAGAGGCAACAAAGATGAAGGCCACTTTCAGGCATTGTAATAATGTTAAAAGATATTATCTATATGAGACGATCAACCACAAGAAGATCAACCACAAGAGCTTAGTTTTGCGGTTGTATATGGAGTAGAAAGAATATATAAACGCGAAAAATAATATCTATATATATAAGACTATATAAGATTAACCACAAGAGCTTAAGTCTTGTGGTTGTTCATATATGGATTACAGAAAATATAATCGCGGGAAATAATATCTATATGAGAAAATAAACGGCATGAATTCATAATCGTTTTCCTCGATGAATAAAGATTTATTATTTACACACACCTGCATAAAAAAAAATTAAAACAACCGTAAACAATATTTATGTTAATTAATTCTGTGGCTTACCATATCGAAACCCGCGCACACACCCGCGCAGAAAATATAAAAAATGATATTATATATTCTATACATTTTACTTGGTCAAGAGCGCGAACAGTAGCGTGTATTTCCTAGTGAATTTTCAAGGGCTATAAACATGATTTTGAACGATACAGAAATTCTAATTCGGCGATCAGCCGCTTATTCCATAGAACAAAAAAAGACAAAGATGAACATTGAAAGGCGAAGTAATTTCTCATCAATAGCAGCCTCATTGGTTGTTCAATATTCGTGGTTTGTTTCCTGATTGGCTGGTGCTATTTATCCGTGGATAGTAACATCTTGTCATTTTTTAAATCATGTCTGATTCATCTGTGAAATCACTATAGGTCTGTTCTTTATAGCTGAACTGGCTGCACTAGTTCAGAGTTTATCTTTTTCTCTCCCCATTGGAAGGAGAAAGATAAGCTCTGAACTAGTGCAGCCAGTTCAGCTATAAAGAACAGACCTATAGTGATTTCACAGATGAATCAGACATGATTTAAAAAATGACAAGATGTTACTATCCACGGATAAATAGCACCAGCCAATCAGGAAACAAACCACGAATATTGAACAACCAATGAGGCTGCTATTGATGAGAAATTACTTCGCCTTTCAATGTTCATCTTTGTCTTTTTTTGTTCTATGGAATAAGCGGCTGATCGCCGAATTAGAATTTCTGTATCGTTCAAAATCATGTTTATAGCCCTTGAAAATTCACTAGGAAATACACGCTACTGTTCGCGCTCTTGACCAAGTAAAATGTATAGAATATATAATATCATTTTTTATATTTTCTGCGCGGGTGTGTGCGCGGGTTTCGATATGGTAAGCCACAGAATTAATTAACATAAATATTGTTTACGGTTGTTTTAATTTTTTTTTATGCAGGTGTGTGTAAATAATAAATCTTTATTCATCGAGGAAAACGATTATGAATTCATGCCGTTTATTAGGTCTCTTTTAGGATTCACCCACACCCACACACACACTCACACACGCACATAATAATGAAAAATTTAACATATCACCGATCAAGATGTAATGGTGAAGAATTTTCGATTATTTAATCGTTAAATTCGGTCAGCATGCTTTCGATGAATTGATAAGAGTTATTTTATTAAGCTAGAAAAAAAGTACGATGATGTTTAATGACTATAATTATCATAATTTTATTGATCGTATATAGTATATATATTTGAACTTTAGATACACATAACTGGAGTTTTTCATATATAATAATCCTTGTATAAAGAAAATTATCCGAAAGAGTGAAAGAGAGAGAGTATATGTCTTTTTTTCTAAATGCATATTGAAAGTTTTATGCAAGCCCAGTCCAAGTTTTATATCAAGTGTCGTTATATAAATAAGCGAGAATAAAGCATATTTATCTCTATAAAACGTAAACTTTTTAATTATATTGCATCGCGAAAGAGAGAGACGTCTCAAAATGACCAGACAACATTTTTGAAAATATTAAGATTTTTTGGAAAACATTTTTAAAAACATAAAAATAATGGGTTAAATTCCTTTTTAATCATTAAAAAAATGTTTATATTAACATTTGCTATTTGAAAATATTTCATGTAAAATAAATAAATAAAATAAACATTAAATAAATATTATTTTTACAATCAATTGTACAATGTACAATTAATGAATAATAAATATTAAAAATACATTTAAAAAATATTGTCAGCTCATTGGGGTCGAGACCTATGTAGTTTTCTCCCTCGGATCGCGCCGAGCTCATTCCACTATACGTGTATATATATA